TGAGGAATCGCCACACTGTCTTCCACAATGGTTGAACTAATTTACACTCCCACCAACAGTGTAAAAGTGTTCCTATTTCTCCACATCCTCTCCAGCATCTGTTGTCTCCAGAATTTTTAATGATCACCATTCTAACGGGCATGAGATGGTATCTCAATGTAGTTTTGATTTGCATTTCTCTAATGACCAGTGATGATGAGCATTTTTTCATATGTTTGGCCTCATGTATGTCTTCTTTTGTAAAGTGTCTGTTCATATCCTTCGCCCACTTTTGAATGGGTTTGTTTTTTTCTTGTAAATCTGTTTTAGTTCTTTGTAAATTCTGGATATCAGCCCTTTGTCAGATGGGTAAACTGCGAAATTTTTTTCCCATTCTGTTGGTTGCCAATTCACTCTAATGACTGTTTCTTTTGCCGTGCTGAAGCTGTGGAGTTTGATTAGGTCTCATTTGTGTATTTTGGCTTTTGTTGCCAATGCTTTTGGTGTTTTGGTCATGAAGTCCTTGCCTATGCCTATGTCCTGAATGGTTTTGCCCAGATTTTCTTCTAGGGTTTTTATGGTGTTAGGTCTTATGTTTAAGTCTTTAATCCATCTGGAGTTAATTTTTAGCGTAAGGTGTCATGAAGGGGTCCAGTTTCTGCTTTCTGCACATGGCTAGCCAGTTTTCCCAATACCATTTATTAAACAGGGAATCCTTTCCCCATTGCTTGTTTTTGTCAGGTTTGTCAAAGATCGGATGCTTGTAGATATACTGTGTTGCCTCCGAGGCCTCTGTTCTGTTCCATTGGTCTATATCTCTGTTTTGGTACCAATACCATGCTGTTTTGATTACAGCATGGTACTGGTAGCCTTGTAGTATAGTTTGAAGTCCGGTAGCGTGATGCCTCCCGCTTTGTTCTTTTTGCTTAGAATTGACTTGGCTTTCTGGGCTCGTTTTTGGTTCCATATGAAGTTTAAGGTGTTTTTTTCCAGTTCTGTGAAGAAGGTCATTGGTAGCTTGATGGGGAAAGTGTTGAATCTGTAAATTACTTTGGGCAGTATGGTCATTTTCACGATATTGATTCTTCCTAATCATGAACATGGAATATTTCTTCATCTGCTTATGTCTTCTCTTATTTCGTTGAGCAGTGGTTTGTAGTTCTCCTTGAAGAGGTCCTTTACATTCCTTGTTAGTTGTATTCCTAGGTATTTTATTCTCTTTGTAGCAATTGTGAGTGGCAGTTCGTTCTTGATTTGGCTCTCTTTAAGTCTGTTATTGGTGTATAGGAATGCTTGTGATTTTTGCACATTGATTTTGTATCCTGAGACTTTGCTGAAGTTGCTTATCAGTTTCAGGAGATTTTGGGCTGAGACGATGGGGTCTTCTAGATATACAATCATGTCGTCTGCAAATAGAGACAATTTGACTTCTCCTTTCCTATTTGAATACCCTTTATTTCTTTTTCTTGCCTGATTGCTCTGGCTCTATTTTTATTTTTATAGTGATGTAGTTTTGCTATGGCAATATGGTCTATATTGTTCCCTGTATACTTGAGAAAAGTGTGTATTATGCTTTTGTTAGGTAGAGTATTCTGTAAATGTCATTCAGGTTAAGTTGGTTGATGATGTTGTTCAAGATTACTTCTCTTTGCTGATTTTCTTCCTACTTCTTTCAATTATTGAGAAAGAGTTTATTAAAGTATCCAACCATAGTTGTAGATTTTTTTCTGTTTTTCCTTGTAATTCTATCAGTTTTGCTTTGTGTATCTTGATGCTTTCTTATTAGGTACATACATATGTTTAGCATTGTTATGTCCTCTTCATCAATTAACTCCTTTATCACTGTGTAATGGCTCTATTTATAACTTGTGATTTTTTTTTATTCTGAAATCTTACTTAGTATGATATTAGTATAGCCACTCCAGCTATCTTTTAACTGGTGTTAGTCTGGTTTATCTTTTTTCATGCTTTTTTCCTTTAACCTATTTATCTCGTTATACTTAAATTTTTTTGTAGGTAGCATGTAATTGGGTCTTGCCCTTTTATACAATCTTAAAATCACTACCTTTTAATAGTGATGCTAAGATCATTTACATTTAGTCTGATTATTTGTATGGTTAGGTTTGAGTCTAACATCTTGCTTGAAGGGGACATGTATAAAATGTCTAGCTTTTTTGAGACAGGACTCTGAAGAGCCATCTTCTCTCCAGAGCTTCTTATAGTTCGGACTAACTCCTTGATTGCAACTGCTTCACTGTTCAACTGAAATATCTGTCCATTCCTGTTTCCCACGTAGAGTTTCTCACTGGGAGCACTCCCTAATACTTCTGGCATAAATTCTCAGAGTTTATTTGCTGGGAAACCCAACTTTCACAGTGACCTTGAAGATTGCTAGTGATAAATTACCACTTACAAATGGTATGAGAATAATAAGTATTCATATTTAAAAAGGAATGAGATTTCTATCCTATCATACAAAAAACCTTTCAGAAGAAAAGGTAGGAAAATATCTCCAAGGACCTTAAGGTAGGAAAAGATTTCTTAAAGCACAAAAAATGCTAAATGTAACAGAAAATGAGAATTTGTGTTTATCAAAGACTGTAAAAAGAAAATAAAATGGTAAGCCATACACTGGTAGAAGATATTTATAAAGTATGTTATAGACAAAGCAATAGAATCTAGAATATATGAAGAACTTATACAAATGAAAAATAACAAGACATATTACTACTAAAATGATCAAGACACAAACATAAGAGGAAACATAAGTGACCAATGAATATAGAGTGCTCAACCTTATTAATATTCACATAAATAGGAATTAAAAACGTGATATAATTTTACATTTAATCGAATGGCGACATTTAAGATTTCTGTTGTAACCAACTGTTGAAGAGAATGGGAGTCAGATAACTTTTATATACTAGGGAATGTGTATTGGTAATACCACTTTGGGAGAAATTATCATATAGTTTATTTATTTATTTTCTTTTTTAATATGATGTAATTTAAAATTGTATATCTGTCTTTTCTTTGACGAGTTGTAATGAAAGAGAACTTACTATTTCTCTGGACTGCTATTTCCATTGTCAGGTAGCTCTAAATGTTAGAAAGTTTCTTATTTATTTTAAGCCAGTGTTTTTCTATGTAATTTCTAAACAGGATATTAAATGCTACTCCGATTCTAGCAAAGGACCAGTTTATGTTTTCTTTTGCATAGTAATCTTTCAGGTAGTTTGATTATTATAAAATCATGACAAAAGAAAAAGACAACAGACTGGCATATTCAAGATAGTGTTTTTATTTTGAGTTCTTGAATTGATTTTAATAGATCCAGAATTATCTAATCTTCTATTTATCACACTTACAAGTATCACAAGCCAATGCATTTCAATGTTTTGTGTTGTAGGACACAAATATCTATTTGGCTGGCACTGAAGAAGGTTATATTCACAAATGTTCTTGTTCATATAATGAACAATACCTAGATACCTACAGAGGACATAAGGTTAGTTTAATTATAGGGGATTGGAAAATTTATTTTGTATTTCTGAAAAAATAGTACCATTATACACAGTACTTGTAATATGCAATAAATTTACAACTTCGAAGTTAAAAATATCATCCTGAATTAAGTGCTTTATTCCATGGAAATCAATAATATAGGGGGCATTCTCTTGACTTCTAGATATCCTTGATTTCTTCTTGAAACTTTTGGCAGTTACAAGTTTTGTTTCTAAAAGACTTTGCTTATGATAGCATGCTGATCCTAAAGTAAAATTTTCTTTCACCCATACCTAGTCTCTGTATCTTTTTGTTTGTTTGTTTTGTTTTTTAAGAGATGGATCTCACTGTTACCCAGGCTGACCTTGAACTTCTGGGCTCAAGTGATCGTCCCACTTTAGCCTCTAAGGTAGCAGGGACTACAGGCACACACCACTGCAACTGGGTGCATATCTTTTCGTGATGTTCCAGCCACATTTTCTTCATTTTCTTCCTTATTTCTTTTTTTTCTTAATACTCTTTATCTTTTCAAAGTAGGTATAATATGTATTAAATTAAGTGAATATTATCGCAGCTATATTTTTATGTTTCTAAATGTAACAATTTAAGGAAGATATAATTTACGATTTTTTCTTAGCTAAAATAATGTCCACACAATAATGAATAATGTGAAAATCTAGAAATCTTAGCATTTTTAATTTGCTGGTCAAGTTTAAAATAAAAGATATTAAATATTTTTTACCTTTGTATTTTTTTATTTATTTGTAGGGCCCAGTGTATAAAGTGACATGGAACCCATTTTGTCATGATGTATTTTTAAGCTGTTCTGCAGATTGGGGTGTTATTATATGGCAACAGGAGAACATCAAGCCATTTTTGAGTTTTTATCCAACTACTTCTGTTGTTTACGATGTTGCCTGGTCTCCAAAATCATCCTACATATTTGCAGCTGCGAATGAGAACAGGGTGGAGATTTGGGACCTTCATATCAGCACGTAAGTGTTAGCATTTTCTTGGGTACACTTATAGTAGAAGCAGTTCAAACTAAATGATACCTGGTAGTTTTGATGTCAGTTAGAGGATACTGTAGTTACTTTAAGAGAGGTAATAGTTTATGAGAGTCCTTTGTGAATAAAGATAATGCCAGCATGCTCTATTAATGTTAGTTATTTATACCGTATGTGATTTTAAAAATATTTGAATGAAAGTAGTTTACCTTGGCTGAGCGCAGTGGTTCACACGTATAATTCCAGCACTTTGGGAAGCTGAGGCGGGTGGATCACTTGAGGTCAGGAGTTCAAGACCAGCCTGGCCAACATGTCGAAAACCTGTCTCTACCAAAATACAAAAACCAGGCATGGTGATGTGCACCACCAGTAGTCCCAGCTACTTGGGAGCCTAAGACAGGAGGATCACTTGAACCCAAGAAACAGACATTGCAGCAAGCTGAGATTGCACCAGTGTACTTTAACCTGGACAACACAGTAGACTTTGTCTCAAAAAAGGAAGAGAGCAAGAGAGAGAGAGAGAGAGAGAGAGAGAGTGAGAAACGAAGAAAGTAAGTTTACCTTACTCATCTCCTCAAACTTTTACGGACAATATAGGACATAATAACTATCTTGAGTTCTTATTAATTGCCTAGTTTACAGAAACATACAGAGGCATTTTTACATTTTTAACTAAAAATTTTCTACAGTAGAAAACAGGGACAAAATAATTATTTTTGCAACATTTACTTATGCTCTTACCTGTTTCAAAACATTCAAAGTGGTATGAACTTAAAGTTTTTGATTTAAGATATTATTCCAAAAATATTAGAAGATTGTCTAAAGTCATTTATTCTTCCTTATGAAAACTTAATACAATGTTGGAATAAAAAGGTTAATTGGAAAATATAATATATCTTTATGCTAGTTTTTAGCAAAAACAGTAAAAAAATGAATACTTGTTTAAAAGAAATGATGTCAAATTCAGTGGGCTTATTCTTTTTTTTTTTTTTTTGGCTAGGAATTAATAATTCAGTAACTTTAAAATTTTGTCCTGGTCTTTTCTATAAAACAGTATGAACCAAAAATCAAGGATTATAAGTATGAAGTGACTAATGTATATAGTGGCTGCTTAAATAATCCCACCTCTGATTTTAATTTTTCTGGAAAAACTGTAGTTCTCGGGACAACGTATTTGTAAAAGAAGTATACAAAGTTGCTACTTCTTTTGAGGACATTAGGTAGATTGCTTTAGATGACCAAGACTAGGAGAAAACTTCTTGTTCAAAATGTACTTTTATATTCCAGAGGCTCATTTGAATAAAAAATTATTCTGTTAAAAGACAGCTATTATTTACTAAGTTGTGTTAGGTATCTCCACAGAAACAGAGCCAATAAGATGTATGTATTTACTTATACCTGTCATTGTCTCTGTCTCTATTTCTGTCTTTATCTCTATCTCTTGAGAGAGAGATTTATTTTAAGGAGTTGGCTTACATGATAGTGGGTCCTAGCAAGTCTGAAATCTGCAGGGCAGGCTGGCAGGCTGGAATTTACAGCAGGAGTCATATTGCAATCTTGAGTCAAAAGGCATTCTGCAAGTAGAATTCTATTCCACTTCGGTGGATCTCAGTCTTTTCTTTTAAGGCCTTCAACTAATTGGATGAAGCCTACCCACATTATGGATGGTAATCGGCTTTCTTCAAATTATAGTGAATTAAATGTTAATCATGTCTGAAAACAAATACCTTTACAATAGACTGATGTTTGACCAAACAATTGGGTACCACAGCCTAGCCAAGTGGACACACAAAATTAGCCATCACAAAGTTTAACTTTATGAGTTCACAGTTTACTTGTGAAGTACTTTAATTTACCTGGTTGAAATTAGTCCATTGAAGAATTGAAGGTTTTGAATGAGTAAGGTGCGAGAAGCAGTTATTTTGAGTTTGGAAACAAATAGGCTTACGGTTTTGTTACATTTCATTAAAAAAAAATCTCAAATTTTTCTTTGTCTATTTTAAAAAATATTAATATAGCAATTGAATTTACAAATAAAATATTTCATTACAGTTTGGACCCTCTGATTGTTAATGTTGCGAACCCTGGAATCAAGTTCACAACCATTCTCTTTGCCAAACAAACAGATTGCCTTCTGGTAGGAGACAGCGATGGACAGGTTTCTGTGTACGAGCTGAGAAATATGCCTACTGCTTTGGATTCTGGCCAGGTACGACTCAAGAGTAAAAAAATTGTGTCATTTTATTAGTCTATTTAGCTGTAATTTTGTAGCATGCAAAGGATTTACATTTCTTAAGTGTCTTAAGTGTAATATAATGAAAGAACATAAATTCCAAGAGTTGCTAACTTCTAGAAATGGCACCTACTAGGGTTATTTTTTTTCTGGCCTTATCTTCTTTATCTATAAAAGATAATGATAAGAATAATAACATTGGTGAGCATAATAATTAATTATAAATATTATATGGGAGAACTTAAAATTGTGCTTAGTGTGTAATTGGGACTTAATAATTCTTAAAGATAGCCAAAGAAGTTTACTGCATATATTAAAAGATTGTTACATAAAATAATTGTATCTTTAGATATTTTCCAATGTTCTTGAAATGGGCATTTATTTCTGTTGGTTTAGTATTATCCTATTCTCTTACTCTGATCTTCAGATACCCAAGTTTTGTTTCAAACTTTGACAGACAACTCACTGTCCACTATTTAAAAAATGTTTTCAATTTCCAATTTAAAATGTTCATTTTTTTTGGTTTCTTATGTTTAAATTGTTATTGTAAACAATACTCTGGTAAATATTAGCAGAAATATGATAAGCATGTCAAAAATATTAAAAATATACATAAATCAATATAAAAAATACCAAGACTTCAATAAAAAAATGGGCAATGATCAGGAATAGGTCATTCACACAAAATAACTAGCAGATATGTTTTAAAATCCAACCTCACTAATAACTTAAAAGATAAAATACTATTAAATTAAAATAGAAGTCTCACATATCAGATTTACAAGGTTGATTTAAAAATAAATTTTTAATGCAACTACTCTGTACTGGCATACATTCAATAAATCCTCTCATACTGGTGGTTGGAAAAGAAATCAGTATAACTTCTTTGGAAGCAATTTGACAATGTGAATCAAGACTTAGATATGTTTAGAGAAGGCCAGGTGTGGTGGCTCATACCTGTAATCTCAGCACTTTGGGAGGCTGAGGCCAGTGGATCACTTTAGGTCAGGAGTTCCAGACCATCCTGGCCAACATGGTGAAACTCTGTCTCTACTAAAAATACAAAAATTAGCTGGATGTGGTGGCAGGTGCCTGTAATCCCAGCTGCTCAGGAGGCTAAGGCACAAGAATTGCTTAAACCTGGGAGACGGAGGTTGCAGTGAGCTGAGATGGCACTACTGCACTGCAGTCTGGGCAAGAGTGAACCTCTGACTCAAAGAAAAAAAAAGAAATGTTTAGGGAATATTGATTCCTTTTAACTAGTAATTTCACTTCTGAGACTAGCCTATAGAAATATTCATAAATGTGACTTAATTAATTATAGCATTATTCATGAGAAGATATATATAAAACCTATCAAGTGCTACAATAATCTACCAATATAAGTTACAATATTTTGTATACTTATTTTTCTTACTAGTTTGAGCCACTTTGAAGCATATATGTGTCTAGTGCAATACTAGCACATAATGGGCATTAGCGAATGCTGAATGACTATCTGAATGAACAAACACACAAAAGACATGGTTTCTAAGAAAAAGACAATAGATATTCAAGAAACTATAATCAAGTCAGAAAGAACAGAATAATGAACTTCTACAGAATCACAGTGCAGGAGAATAATTGACTTTTGGAAGGTGAATGGGAAGAGGAAAAGGAAAATAAGATAATGCTTTTGGGAAGGTTTTTTACAAAGGAGATTAAATTTCAGCTGTGCTTGGAGGTTTAGGATATTTCCTTGCAGATAAAGAAAAATTGGAATTGTTATTCCTGACCGAGGGAAAAGCTTGAGCAAAGATAGGGAATTGGAAAGGTTCATGTCATCTTAAGGAATTGGTAAGTCGACTTTTTTGACTGGTAAAGAAGCTCCTTGAGAGAAAAGTGGCAAAGGGGCCAATATAAGAGTAATAAGAGTAATATAATATACGTACTGGTAATAGAAATTAAAATAGCCTCTTTGGAGAGCAATTCAATAAAACAGAAAATTCAAATACCATACAAGCCAATTGATATCATAGAGAATCTCTGTGGTACAATAGGAGTATACATGTACAATAGAAGACATGTATAAGGCAGTATCAATGTGAGGTGTTTTAAAAAATTCATTTCTTATTTCTTTCTCTCTTTTTTTTTTTTTTTTTTTTTTGAGATGAAGTCTTGCTCTTGTTGCCCAGGCTGGAGTGCAGTGGCGCAATCTTGGCTCACTGCAACCTCTGCCTCCCGGGTTCAAGCAATTCTCCTGCCTCAGCCTCCTGAGCAGTGGATTACAGGCTCCCACCTGAGTAGTGGATTACAGGCTCCCACCTGAGTAGTGGATTACAGGCACCTACCACTATGCCTGGCTAATTTTTGTACTTTTAGTAGGGATAGGGTTTGGCCGTGTTGGCCAGGCTGATCTTGAACTCCTGACCTCAGGTAATCCGCCCACCTTGGCTTCCCAAAGTGCTGGGATTAGAGGTGTGAGCCACTGCACCAAGCCAATTTATTTCTTATTTCTAATGTTCCCTAAGGTAGCCTTTATATGTCCAAAAGATTACTCAGCCTACTTTGATTTTAAAAATTTATATTCAAATGATATCAGATTTATAAAAAAAGAACAGTTCATCTTAAGTTCTTACATTTGGATTATATATTTTATTATTATGTTTCTAAGTCTAGCAGATTTTAATACATGCTAAGTGAGCTTTTGCAACTTAATTACATTTTCTTAAATATTTTAAATCTCATTTATAAATTTAATTTAATATATTGGACTTTTAAGTACTTCAGTTTTCTTAGCAAACAAGTCTCAGATACTTAAGGAATTCTTATTAATTTCATAAATTAAAAATTTTAAATGTGATGAATACTATATTTTCCTAACTGTTCTAATGCAGTTTACAAATTAGTAAGACTTCAGTCCATGATTGCAAGTCTAAATCAATTACCCAAATTGCACATTTATATGAGAAGCAAATGTTTCTCTCTTAGACATTCCAATATGACAACTTCTCATATGAATTTTAAAATATTAAAAATATGTAAATTCCTTAATGCAGAGAATACTAAAGTTATCAGTTTGATTTGCTGCATCATTTCTATACACAATGTTTATTCTTCTCAAGGTAAAAAAGAATACCATTATAAGTAGTTTTGAAGATTATTTTCTCAACTAGCTGAGATGCATCTTGACTTAAGATTTTATCCAGGGAATGAGGTCTGACACTGTGGACATTTAAGGGGATTTACCTAAGTACTGTAGCTGCCAGTCTGGGCCCTGTTTTACTGTTGATTTGTCAGTGCTCAATGCAGTTGTCTCACAGCCCATGTCTCCTAAAGTCTAGTTACGCATTACCTAAGCCTCCATCTTCTCATTGGAAGTCTGCAACCCTGCCCATGTTGCTGAATCACTTGATTGACTTCCATTCATTGATTTACTGTGTCATTAAATTCTAAATTATTACAGTTTTCCTACTTAGTAGGAATACAACTCTTGTAGATGTTTAAATGCCATCTGATTAGATTAGATTCTATACTTTTTTTTTTTTTTTTTTTTTGAGAAAGGGTCTCACTCTGTTGCCCAGGCTGGAGTGCAGTGGTGTGATCTCGGCTCACTGCAGCCTCAAACTCCTGGGATCAAGCAGTTGTCCCACTCCAGCCTCCCAAGTAGTTGGGACTACAGGTGCACACCACCATGCCCAGCTAATTTTTGTATTTTTTGTAAAGACAGGGTTTTACTGTGTTATCCAGACTCATCTCAAACTCCTGGACTCAAGTGATGTGACCACGCAGACCTTCTCAAGTGCTGGGATTACAGGTGTGAGCCACCAGGCCTAGCCCAGATTCTAAACATCTTTAGGGCTTTGTTTAACTCATAGGTAATGGTGTGAAAAACATGCTAATGAGGAAACAATGTTTATAGCAGCCTTGTTTGTATACTGACAAATTGAAAACAACCCAAATGGTTATCAGTGGAAGACTGGATAGATAAAATATGACATTTTCACATGTGTAACTTCAATACAGATATTTAAATGGCCTATATTTTAATGTGTTAATATGGCAAGTTTTGAATAAATTATAAAACACAGTGTTGAGTGATAAAAGCAAATTTCAAGAAGGCAAGTACAATATGTTATATGCAATATTATGTAAACACAAAAATAAAAACATATTGTTGGTAGACACACTTGTAGTTGGTAAAAGTATAAAAGAGTATAAAATATAAACTGGAATGTAGAAGAAAAATGCTTCATTTTTGTGTTTGGATTTGAATTGGTTATGCCATCTTTTAATTTGAGCAGTATGCTCTACAAGCAGAAAGCTAAGCTTAGAGAATTTGAACATTTTTGGCAAACCCGTGTGTGTGTCTGTGTGTGTGTGTATGTGTGTGTGCGTGTGTGTGTGTGTGTGTGTGTGTATGTGTGTGTCTGTGTGATTTCAAGGCTGGTAAGCATATTTTTCTTAACAAATCAATTCCATATATTAGTGAATAAATATAATTTTTGTATACGAATATGTTTTTCATATTTTTGGTGACTATATTTGAAAGGCTTAGGGTTATATTTTTGGGAGATTAAACAACAACAAAAAACTGTTAATCAGGTTTCTTGTTACTGATAGCCAATTTTTAATGACATACCTTTTCTTTCTTAGCTTATAGAGAATTAGTCATAAGAATATTTTGAAGTTCCAAAGTAACTAATGTCAAAACATTGTTTCCTCTCAAGATACCTTGTCAAGTAACATTATGACCTATAATTTTTTCATTAATTTTAATCAAGAGTGAATCAAAGTTTTAGAAACCTTAACATTTCATTCTATAGGAAAGATGTACACCAAATTTATGATAAAGGCTGCCCCTGGGACATGAGGGAAAGGGAAGAACAGTATTAGGAGGTATACAAAGGAAACGTTATCTTTTATCAGTGTCTTTCAGGATTCCAGTTAGTATCACTTTTTCTAATTGCTACTTTAATTTTTTTAACTTTTAAATT